GCGGCCCCCCGCTCTGGTCCGGTGCCCCCCCCCCGCGTCCAATCCGCGCAGTTGCCCCCACCTCCTCCAGCTTCTTGGCATTGCCGGTCACGAACACCACGTTCCTCCCGGCCATCGCAGAGCCACAGCGTCTGCGCGCTGACCAGCCAATCACAGCCTCGCCGCCCGGCAACCGGGGCAACGCGCGGAACCGTCCAATGAGAGAGGAGCCCCGAGGAGCCGGAAGCGAATCGAACTCTCTCGCCGCGGGGAATGAAGGGAACCTGGGTTTCCATTTCCGGTGACGACCAGCGAGGCATGTTCGGGGACAAAGCACTTCCGGTCACCCACGCACCCTACTCGCTCGAGCAGACCGGAAGTGCTTGTCTGTTCCTCCGGGGGGAACGGAAGTGCGGGCCGGGGTTGCTTGGTTACCGACCCGGAAACGCCAAGAGGGCGTTGCGTCTGCCAGGGTGTAGCGCGGCCCCACCCGTAGGGACAGACCCTCTGCCGCCATGGGGGGGTCACCAGTTTTCCCGCCCCGCCGGACAGGACGCGCCTGCCTGCGTTAAGTTCCCCGGCCACGGGGCCCCCGCTTCGTGCGGAGCAAGGGGGGCGCGTCCCCTCCCCCCACGTGCCGCCTGTTCAGCGCGGGGTCGGCTCCTTGCAGCGCCGAACCGAGTGTGCTCCGCTCCCAGCGCCTGTCGGCCCCGGGTCAGGCTGTTACATGGGGCCCCGCAAGGCTCGGGGAGACCCGCTTCTGAGTCAGCCCGCTGGAAATCAACGTGCGAACTCCTCCGATGCGGAGTACACCGAGCCTGGGCATTTCAAAAGCACCTGGCTCAGGGCCCAGTTCTCCCGTCGGATGCAAAGGAAAACCTCCCCTTCCAAGGGAGCAGTTAGAGCGATTTTGAGCTGCGTTGAAAATAAGGCTCAGGAGCGGGCGTTCTTTCCTATGGACGCATTTTAGGTTGTTTGGCAAATGACTGAGTAGCTTTATTAAGTATAAATATTCTTATTTTACAGAGAAACATGCCAGGGAATCCCCTTCCCCTATTCCTTGTCAGGCCAACAATTCTTCACACCTGGGAGTTTGCAAGCAGCCCGCCTCCCCCTGAGGTTGGGTTCCAACTCCAACAGCATTTGGACGCACAATTACCTTAGGGTCCTTTGAAATCACCTGCAGGCATCATCCCCTCAAAGGAACAGAGAGGGTAGGAGGTTTTCAAGTAATAGGGGGAAATTAGCCCCTTTTCAGACACCCCTTCTACAAAGCAGTGTCTGCTTTTAGTGTACTAGGCTTATGGCAGCGGGCGACATGAAACACACAACCACACCATTTTCCCTTTTGGAGTTTGCAACCAGCACAGCGGTTCCACAAAGCAGCCGACAAATGTTTTCCACCGGCGCTACTTGCACAGCGACTCGAATACCTCCAGGGTCCTTTTGATCTCCCGGATCTGTTTGGCCAGGGCGTGGACCGGCTGCATGGAGCGGTCCAGCTCCTCGCAGCGGGCCATCAGGGTGTACATCCCCTTGATGCTCATGTCCACGGACTCGCCCAGGCTGTCCACGGCGTCCCGGTAGGTCTGGATGTAGCCCACGCTCAGGGCCGTCATGTTCTGGATGTTGCAGTTCAAGCTCCGCATCATCTGGTCCACTTTGTGGGCCACCTCTTGGGTCAGCCGCTCCAGCTGCTGCAGCACCTGGAGCGGGCCATCAGGGTGTACATCCCCTTGATGCTCATGTCCACGGACTCGCCCAGGCTGTCCACGGCGTCCCGGTAGGTCTGGATGTAGCCCACGCTCAGGGCCGTCATGTTCTGGATGTTGCAGTTCAAGCTCCGCATCATCTGGTCCACTTTGTGGGCCACCTCTTGGGTCAGCCGCTCCAGCTGCTGCAGCACCTGGGGGTCGATGGGGGGGATGTCGGCCGGCTTCCTCGCCCCCACACCCGGGGACAGAC